TGACAGTCTGCGGGTTTTTATGTCTGGCGTTTCATCTACTACTACGGTAAACATTATCAAAGGCTATCTGGCAACGGTCGCAGTGCCCCAGTTGGTGCTATAGTTGTTATTCCCGTTGAACCAAACGCATTAACTACGAATGAGATAATATATGTTGAGAGCGTGTCCGGCTATAGCTAATTATCGGTTTTTTCTTAGTACAAACTTGTGTTCAGAAAACACAAGACAAATTGTTGACAGAGAACAACAACTCGAGCACCAACTCGGTCACTGAGACTGTTATCATATCGCCTTTGATAATGTCTACCGCAGTAGTAGATGAAACGCCATGCTTAAAACTTGCAGACTACGGCAGAAACCCGAAAGCTTTCACACAGTTATTTCCAGCCGTGAAATTTTACGTTTTTTGATACTTGAAAGTGTTAACTGAAATATTATTATTGCAGTTGATTCAGCAACAGGCGGAAAAATTTGCCGAACAACCCCAAGTCAACATTTCGAAAAAGTTTAAATATTACAGTTCGCGGTTCTCGCCGCTGAAAAACGAGAAGATGGATACGTTTCGGAAGACTATATGGGAGAAGTATAAAGATCGATACAAAAACATGACGCTGAATAATGATACGCATTTTTACAATCTCGCTGTCAACACAAATTATAGTTCAGTCCATGTGCCAATCAATGTTTACGAGCTAGGTGGGTATTTATCACAGTAGGTATTTCAAACATATACTGTATAATGAAAAAACTACCGAAAAAATGTTAATTCTCTGAAGAGATAAATTATTGTTCTAGAGAGTTGACGGAAAAATAAGAATGAATTATATACCTAACTGAAAATTGTAGGAGTAGAGTGAGACAACCGAGGTTGTCATTTTACTATGGATGATATAGTCAAAAGAATTGTTAAAGTTATACAACACATACAGTTATTTCTTGACTAAGTTATCCCCAGATGATATACTTAGTTTCACAGTTTCTGTGAAATTAAATAAATCAGGTGTTAAATCTTAACGCCACGATATACTTACTCTGTATCCAAGATAAGGATGGCCAGCAAAGAATAAATTTGAAACCAAGACCAGAAATCGAATATACAATTTTCGGCGACACGCTCTGCATGCCAAGTAAGAAGTTTTTGCGAACTAATTTTTTTAAATACTCAAGGTAGCAATATTTCACATCTGGTGAAGATTCAACATAATTTTGATTTCCTGAGCGATTGAGTAAATGCAAAAACTCCCTCTTTTCAACTATGCTTTTAGGAGGGCAGAAAGAGCCATCGAAGAATAATTCAAAGAATCCAAGGTCAAACAATGACAATCTGCATCGAAATTATTAGGGTCCCGCTCATTATCAGTTCGGGGTTGATTTCAAATTTGGCCGCGGTGATATTGCGCTCGACTCACGATCGGAAGGCCGTGGGTTCGATTCCTGCCTCGACTAGATATTTTTCTTGAGAGAATTTATCTGGTTGAAGCTGGGATGATTCTGCAACCGTGTTGGAATCACACGTTAAAAGGTAAGACCTCGTTAGTCCTTAGCTCACACAAGTTTCTCAACTTCTGAAAGTTGTCGTTCGTATGGGAGCGACAGCTGATTAACAGAAAAACAGATTTTTTTTAAAACTTGATCTAGGACAAACTGATGATCAAATCCTTGTCTGTTCTGTGTTAGGACAACGATATTTTTGAAAAGTACTCGTTAATTTGGAGCAACGGTCGGCAATAGGCGGACCGCGGTCCGTGAAAATTCGAACATCGGACCGCTAAATATTGTAACGTGTTATATACCAAGTATAAATATGAATACGCAGATAAGGTATACTATACCTTTATTAATTGAAGTAATATTTTCAAGCCACATAGAAATTAACTAAGTATGTACATATTTTATTTCAAGTTGCCTAGTCAACCTGTTTCACAAGTACCTACAACTGATATGGTTTTATCAGTTTCCTATCTATTCTGTGTGTATGTGTCTTTGTGCGCGCTTGCCACTATTTTGTTTGGTTGAAACAAGCGCGAGCGAGTATCAAAATCGGAGGTGTGGGAGTGTGGGCGGCGGAAGCACATTGTCAGTCGTAGCGCAAACCTCGGAGCAACCATTTATTTGTTTTGTGATTTTTCGCGTTTTCATAATATTTTCGTACGTGGATTCTAAAAAGCGTGAGGTGGACAGTGAGAATAGGATGTTTCTGGCAGAATGGACTGAATAATATTGTTTTACGCTGCCTAATAGGTGTGAAGCGGTTCCAGTGTGCCTTAAATGCAATAAAACTGTCACCATTATTAAGAGTGATAATTTGAAGCGACACTACGAAACAACTCAACAGCAGTTTCACAAAAACTTTCCTATTGGCAGTAAGGCTCTTAAAAAAAACTTCAATCTCTGTTCTCACAAAAAAAGTACAAAGTTACTAGTTCGTTGCATAAGCGAGCAAAAAAAATCCACAGAAGCAGTGCTACGTGTGTGCTGGACGCTTAATAAACAGCAGAAACCATTTTCAGATTCTGAGATGGTGAAAAAATGTATGTTAGTAGTAGTCACGTCACATTTTGAAGAAGAAAAGAATTCGCTGCATTTCAAAATATTCCATTATCAGCGAGAAGTAATACACGAAAAACGGAAATTTTTGCTACTGATATTAAAAATACTCTTCTTGAACATCTGTAAAAGGCACCTTGCTATGCCATAGCATTTGATGAATCATGTGACATTGTTGATGATGCACAAATGTCTATTTTCGTAAGATTTCTTGATAGAGTGTCAGATTTTTAGGAAAGAGTCGCTAGAAATATTGCCGTTGAAAGGTTACACTCGAGGAGAAGATTTATTCAAGGTCATTGATGAATTTATTACTAAATCTAACATTAGTGAAGATAAAATGGTATCGCTTTCAACTGACGGGGCCCCAGCAATGATTGGTAAAGAAAAAGGTATAGTAAAGAGAATCAGGAATAAAAACTCATGTCTAATATCGTATCAGTGCATAATTCAAAGGGCTGGAAAACTTAGTACTACTACACCCAAAGAAGTGATGGAGAGCTTAGTCAAGTTGATTAATTTTATGAGATCTCATTCTGCATCTGCAGCACCGACATTTCAAGGAGTTTCTTTCTGACAGCGTATTCAGTGCATAATTCAAAGGGCTGGAAAACTTAGTACTACTACACCCAAAGAAGTGATGGAGAGCTTAGTCAAGTTGATTAATTTTATGAGATCTCATTCTGCATCTGCAGCACCGACATTTCAAGGAGTTTCTTTCTGACAGCGTATTCTGACTCAACTGCAACACGACAAAATGTTCGGTGGCTAAGTAAAGGTCAAGTTATTGAATGTTTCTGGCTGATAAAAGAAGAAGTAACCTCCTTCTTGCACAACTTAGATACGTAGGGAGCCAGAAAGCACAAAGAAGCGTAATATGCTGGGCATGTCTGCTTTTAGTCGCAAGCTGGATATCTTTAAAAAAGATATTACAAGACAAGAATGTATTCATATTCCGACAATTCCTTAATATAAAAAAAAACTTTGAAGAAGACATTGCAGAAGAAGATATCTTTCTCAAAGGTACATTTTTTGAAAAACAAATATCGTTCGAGATTAAAGGACGGCCACCTAAAGACACACTTCGAATTTGCTATTCGTCTCGAGAACCAAACTATAAAAAAGTGGCTCGAAATCATCAGTGAGATGGAGAGCTTAGTCAAGTTGATTAATTTTATGAGATCTCATTCTGCATCTGCAGCACCGACATTTCAAGGAGTTTCTTTCTGACAGCGTATTCTGACTCAACTGCAACACGACAAAATGTTCGGTGGCTAAGTAAAGGTCAAGTTATTGAATGTTTCTGGCTGATAAAAGAAGAATTAACCTCCTTCTTGCACAATTTAGATACGTAGGGAGCCAGAAAGCACAAAGAAGCGTAATATGCTGGGCATGTCTGCTTTTAGTCGCAAGCTGGATATCTTTAAAAAAATATTACAAGACAAGAATGTATTCATATTCCGACAATTCCTTAATATAAAAAAACTTCGAAGAAGACATTGCAGAAGAAGATATCTTTCTCAAAGATACATTTTTTGAAAAACAAATATCGTTCGAGATTAAAGGACGGCCACCTAAAGACACACTTCGAATTTGCTATTCCTCTCGAGAACCAAACTATAAAAAAGTGGCTCGATATCATCAGTGTAATTTCTCACATTAATTTCAGGTCTTGTGTTTTATAATTCATATAATAATACGTAGGTAGCACTTGATTTTTATCAGTTGTTTTTTCTGGACCTCGTAAAAATTTTCCCACAGTTACCGGACCCCACCTAAAACTACATGCCAACCCCTGATTTGGAGTATACTCTACGATTTCAACAGATTTTAACAGATTATATCAAAGATGTTGATTTTTGAAACCTGTAATCTAACCCCACATATGTTACACACGTTAATCTTACTGTTCATATAAGTCGAACAACAGTGTGCAAACACAGATATTTGATCCATCTAAAAGGGATCTATTCTCACGTTTCTTCTCCTGTCTAGTCTCAAAGTCGTAAAATATTGTTCTTCTGTGAACTGGCATCTGTCTGCGTATACCTCAAATACCCTGCCGTTTGATGGGTAAGACATAATATCCTGAATGATACTCCGCAGAAATGTGCTCCGCCTTTCTTCACAGTCTTCAAATAGTCAGAAAAAATTTGGATTTTGAAGCAGTTCTGCCTTTTGGAGAAACGAATACAGTGGATATATTTCATCCTAATATCCTTTTCACAAGATGAGATCTCTGACAAGCATACGCCGTTACAAATTATCTATGAAGTTTTAGGGTGCATGAAATTCTTCGCAGAAATGAGCACCGCAGAATGCTGCAGTGGGCAAAGTTTGAACAATGTAGTGTCCTTCGCGATACATAAGATTCAGGTTTTTGGAAGAATCATTTGAATCTTCAAATAGAATGTATCGAACTTTGTTTTCTTATTTGTAAACAATAATGCGGTAATATTTGAGGTGTGCTTGAAATTGTTGATGCTCGGGTTTGCCACATTCTTCGGAAGGAACACATACAGATGACACTTTCATGAGCTCTTGTGTTCTTAATGTCTAAATTTTTTTCTGTATCGTTACGAATTTTCCGAAAGTGTGGAACTTTGTCAATGTCAGTCATAGCAAAAACAAGGGCGTGAGGTGATTTCAGTAACGATAGTCCTATTTCTTTCACGGCATTCCTCAACGAAAATATTGTAATTTTTGCTTCAGTATTGAAACCTGATGAGATGAATTGATGAATGGACGATATTTTATCCCAAATTTCCACGAAGGTGATTTCATTCGCATATCTAAATGGCATCTAGCCCTCACCACGGGCAAAGTTTTTAAAACTAAAAGTGAATGTGACTTGGTCTGGGTTCCAACCCTCCGATCTCTTTTTCGACAATAGCTTCGATAGCATCCTTCACCCGAAAGGTTCGCAAAATCTCCAACTATTTCAATTTTCTTCATTTCAAACGTTTTTGTTTTTTTTCTATAAGAGAAAAGTGCATATTGTATAATTTTCATTTCATAATTTCATTTGTGTCCCATCTAGTGATAAGATAATCAAATACTTCCAGTAGTGATTGATTTTTCAATTATTTTTTAAATGAGCAATTAGGTATAAGCAATAACGAGCGTATATTGAAAAGTTAAGATCTTGT